CCTGCTGGCCCAAGACGCCCCGGCGAAGGAGATCAGCATCGACTCCGGACACCCGTTCCGCCGACGCCGACAGCAGACCCAGCAAGACCGGGAACCGTCGCCGGAGCGCCCAGAAACCCGCAAGGCCAGAGAGTCTCGGGATGTCGGAAGGGTGCTGCCGGGGCCGGGCTATCTGGGGTTCATGAGCTACTGCGACATTTACGACGAGACAGACCGAAGCCTGTCTCTCTTGCGCGGTGGTCCGGCGTCAGAAACGACGCCGACAGAGACGCGTGCTATAACGCCTCGGACTACCCCTGTGGTGCCGACGCTGTCCCGCAGAAGTCTCGAGACATGTTTGACCGTGCTCCGGCATGTGCCTACCCGCGCCGAGGCCCGCCGCTTGTTCGACGACGGCTGTACTGTGCTCGACTGTTGGGTCCGTCAGGTCACGCAGCGCGTCATGCTCTCCCTCTACGAGATTTTCGGTCATTGCCTTGGCGACAGCCGAAAAGAGACAGATCTGATCGACATGGCACATCTCCTCTCGCGCAACACCTCGGTCAGCCTGAGCGACAAGGAGGCCGATTCCGATGCATGGATCCAGTCGTTTTCCGGCAGGAACCTGCGCTGGGACACCTTGGGTGTCATGTTTGTATACTGGGCGTTCGGCGGCAGGAGCAAGCGCTCGTTCCGCATGGAGAGCGGCGACCGTACCGAGGTGGCGGGCTCCGTGTTGACGCTGCAGCGGTGCATCGATCTCTGCGTCGAGCTCAGCCGCGGCGCGTCCGAGGGCAACATCCTCCTGCTCTACGTCTTGTACCAGCGCGCCGTGCTCGAGTCGATGATTGCCGGCGACGCCAGCCCCTCGGTGTGGCGGTACCACGGTGAGGCAGCCGGCCTCATCATGTATCTCGGCATACATGCCGAGACGACGAGAGATGCCTACGTGCCGACGCTCGCGGGCGAGCTGCGGCGCAGGCTGTGCGGTCTCATCATGACCATTGACAAGGTCGGCGCCATATTCACGGGGCGTCCACCTCTGATGAGCCGCCGCTACATCAGCACGCCGCTGCCGCTGGATCTTCGGAACGAGGACTTGATGGGCGGTCACGAGACGATCGTCAAGGCCATGGGGGCCCTCGATGAGAATGGTTGGAACACGTCTGGCGGCCCGTACCCAGCGACGGTCGTCCGGGCAAGAACGCTGCTGTCTTTGGTGAAGGATGAGATTATCGAGATTGCCCTGGGGAACGATCGCCAGGCGAGCGTTCAAGATTTACTGTGAGTTGCCGAAAAGCCGCACGACTGTGCCCTCAAAAGCCTTCCACCCATCTCTGACACTAGACGCCAGGGCCCTGAAAGCCCGCCAGGACAAGACGATGGCGGAGCTCCCCCAAGGTCTCAAGTACGATAAAGAGAACCTGACCGACTACGCAGTCGAACAGCCTATCGTCTTCACACGCCATGTGATACAGCTAGAACATCTGCAGGCTCATTTCCTCATCCAGCGTCTCCTGATCCAGCGCGGCTACGACGGGCAAGCCGAACTCATTGCCATTTCGTTCGCCATGGTGTCGCTGACGGTCAAGTTCTGGACACACATGGATCGGTTCTCGCTGATGATTGGCGACTTTGAGTGGCTCGTCATGGCGTACGCTGCTCCATCGGGCGGCATTCTGTGCCAGGAGCTCCTCAGGCCCAGCGTGCGCCTGCCGAGCGTCGGAGACGAAACGGCAGCCTCGGGGACGTCGGCAGACGACATGCTGCAGCTGCCGACGCGGTTCGCCATGATCGAGCACCTCTTCCTGCTGGTCGGGTTCCTCGACCGCGTATCGCCTTCGGCGCCCAACGGCGATCTCTGCCGCGATTGCAAGGTTGTCATCCGCCGGGTGCTGGAACAGAGCGTCGGCCAGCCGCCTGTCGCAGCCAGCGATGTCAGGGGGCTGGCGCCGTGGGACGTGGATCTGCAGCCGTCGGTGGATTTCAACTTTGAGCTGCTCGACACGTTTGACTGGATCCGCGCGGAAGCAGGCTGGTGACCAAGGGTGCCTTTGCAGAACAAATGGGTGGATGGGTGGATGGATGGATGCAGAAACGAGGGGAAAGAGGAAAAGGAAGGACAGACGCAGAAGGAGAAGGAGAGGAAGGAGGCAGGAGAGAAGGAGAGGAAGGAGGCAGGAGAGAAGGAGAGGAAGGAGGCAGGAGAGAAGGAGAGGAAAGAGGCAGGAGAGAAGGAGAGGAAGGAGGCAGGAGCGAAGGAGGAGAGAATGCAGGGCTCACCGAAGACACACCGAGCTCACCTCCCGCGTACCGGGCGCTCACGACATGGGCGCCAAGACAACATCGGAAATGAAAGGGCCAATGGAACGCCACACACGTGTAGCTGGCGCCCGCCTCCTGCATGCAGCAATTCCAAGATTGCGGTCTGGATCTGGCTTGGCTTTGCTTGGTGGAAGCTGGATCCTTGATCCTTCGACATTGGGCTCGATCTGTCCCGACGCCTTCTTTTCTTGCATCTCCTCCTTCTTCTTCCCCTCTCTCTCCCCCCCCCTCCGGCTCTCCCCTTTCCGCCTAGCCTCTGCCATTTCCCAGTGCAGAGCAATGTCTTTGCTCAGGCGGCCATGATACGCGGCTTTCGACCACGAGTGGCCATTCTGGCCGCGGTCGCCATCCTCTTCTCCCTCATCCTCATTCTACTCGTGCTGCAGGATCGCGAAACCGGCTACCTCTACGCCCTCGTTCCTCCCGACCTTGGAAGCCAGCGCCACTATGGCAACGACTGGGCGGGCGCCGACGCCAACACCGATACCGACGCGGACGACGTCAACACGACCCATCCCATCGACGAGCTCATCGTCGAGGCCCAGCTGCGTCACCGCCAGCTTCTCGGCAAGCAATCCCTGACCCTGCGCCAGGCCGCCTCGCGCTACCGCGAACGCCGCGGCCGTCACCCGCCGCCGGGCTTCGATGTTTGGTTCGCCGCCGCCACCGCCGCCAAGGCCGTCGTCGTTGAGGAGTTCTTCGACCGCATACACCACGACATCAACCCCTTCTGGGGCGTCGACCCCGCCGAGATGCGTCGCCACGCCGCGCGGCAGCCGTTCATGATCCGCGTCCGCGGCGGCAAGACCGACACGGACACGGAGGGCGAGGAGCCGCCGTACCGCGTGCGGCAGTGGGCCAAGCTCGTCGCCGAGATGGAGCCGCACATTCCCGACCTCGACATGTTCGTCAACGTCATGACGAGTCGCGCGTGCTCGTGCCGTGGAGACGATGCGCGCTACGTGGCCAAGGAGCAACAGGGGCGGCGCCTCG